TGATCTGTGAGTGATGATAATTTGTGCACCAATTCCTCTGACATCGTCTTATTAATCGTTAGCTTACTATGCAAACATGACAAGTGAAATCTCCCGCAGCAAGCTTAAACATGTGAGAGGTTGATCGCGCAGAGAATCGCTGAGCTTATGTGAGTGCGTGTGTAAAAGCAGCAGGATATATATTTTAGTTCTGCTGAGCCAAATAAGACAGGTCAGGGTGAAGAAGTGACAGCCAAAGAAAAGCTTACCACAAAACGGAGAAGTTATGACAAATCAGACTATAAGGCAAAAAGAAAGTGCAGCTTTATGGTTTCATGGACAAAATAATTTCTGTGGCTGCAATATGACGAGCTAAATAACCAGGGCTGCACATAAGTGGTCCGCAGGTGCGCATTCGCTGTCAAAATAAAAAACACGCACAAGGGTTAGGGTTAAATTTAAAAACTGTACTTTTGAGTTAAAATATATATTTATAATTTTAATAAATATCGAACCGATAACAAAGGATGAACATTTTGTAACCGAACATGATGAATTTTGTGTATCGTTGCACCCCTAATATATATATACTTGCCTCATTCACACAAGCAATTTTTTTTCTATGAAGACATTTTCTATTAACACATCACCAGTCAGAGCAACTATGATGAAGGAATATTGGTATGCAGATGGACAGAACTTGGATCGGAATTGGAATATTAAGACCCCCCCCACCCCTTCCACCTTCTATTTGGAAGGTCACCTACCTTCCAATTAGTAGGTGACCTGCTCTACCTCCTGAGCTACAGTCACCCCAAAGCTGAAGTGTTCTTGCATCCTCTTTCCAGTGTCCTCAAAATCATTCACCCTTCTCAATCACAAAGGATGTTCCAGCTCCTAAAAACACCTCAAAGAGGCAAGGACAGGTGAGATAAGTGTGTCTGGAAGAGCTAAGAGCGAGGGAAGCATCCCTCAAAAGGACAGGATCTCTTAAGACTAATACTATAGAAGCAAGGATTTCTCATTTTCTCTCCTGTGTTCTTCAGTCTTGTTCATGGATGTCTCCTGCACATTTTCACTAAGACAGAAAGAAGAGATGAGATGGCAGGAAGCGAGGAAGCAAGTTAACATAATTAAATGCACCCAGGTGTCCCAGGGAGCGATCCATAATATAATACTTATACTTATACTACTCCTCCTCTCTTGTCTGGTCCCTCGTTAAATACATCTGCACAAAGGATGAGAAGCACCGCTGAACTGACACCAGCTGTTCCTCAGATGTCAGGAAGATTGCACTTCAAGGCAACTACATCTGTTTGATAAATATCAAGCTCGTCTTCGATTGCTCATTACCAGCTATATGTGGCCATAAGTGAAGGTGGTAATGTCCATTGACCTGTAAATCCGCAGTTTCAGCCGTCACTTTCAGCTTTACACCGGAACAGCTGCACCATTGATCCTCTGCATCTAGAAATTCAGAACCAGAGACCAAGTTTTATTCAGAAACATTGTTAGCTTATCTCCATAAAAAATTGATTTAAGGTCAAAATTCGTCTTTCTTTAAAATGTAGAAAGCAGTTCAGATTTTAGCTTAATTTTTTGTGCGCTTCTAATATTTTTATTGTATTATTATTTGCCACCACCAACATAATTTCCAGACCTGACTTCTGACCTTTTGAATGTAAAACATAACTTTTTTTATCCCACTAGACATTTGTGTGGAATGCATTCATAATCAGCTCATAAATTCTTGAGTAACAGCCAGAGAACTTCAGTGACGCTGACCTTTTACCTTTGCACTCCAAACTACTGCAGTAAGTATTGCAAAAAGACAGAAATTCAAAAACATTTTCTATCTGTATGAACAGACAAAAAGAGCAAATGCATGAAGCAGTAGTGAAGAAAAAAAGTAATTGTATGATTGGTTTTGATTTCTGACTGAGATTCTTGGATGGTTTCTATTTTATTTTATTTCTTTTTCTTGCCTCATTGGCTTTTTGGTCCATGAAGTAGCTCGGCCTGAGTGTGTTCATTTTCATTATTGTTGTTGGGGGAATGGAAGTAAACATAAGGGGAAAACTCAGCCGGCATCCTTTTGAAGTGATGGTCACTTTTTGATCTATTAGTTGCTTTTGTACCATGTTTTTTAATTGAAGAAAAGGGGGGATAAAAAGTGAAGCCTTGATTTGGATAAATAAGCTTTCTGATCAAAGGACTAGTCCAACGGGAAGCTACTTTTGCAGCGATTGCTGTAGGCATAAACAAGAGATGCAGACAGATGCTCTTTGTTTTCCAAGACAGAGAGTGACCTTTTGAGCCAAGTGTAGGTTAATAGCATCAATTTAATGGAGATTTGTGAGCCTCCTCCTGGTCAAGTCTAATGCTTTCTGCAAAGCCTGACAGGCTGAGCGCTTTTGTACATGGAGAGGAGGCTGACGCTGGGTAATGCAAAATAAACTCTGTTTAAACTAATGTAAACCTTTCCAGATCAAATAGGGCTTAGTCGGATTTGGCAGGAAAGAATATAGGGGTGAAGATGGCGAGGCCAGAAGGGAATTTAGGGCGAAAGCCATGAAAACATTTGCACAGATGTGGGTACCTGCTGACAGTAGAGACATTTTGCTCTGTGCTGTTTTCTATTACAAGTTACCCCCTTCTTCTCTGCTCCTCATTTATCAGTGTCTGCTGATGCACATGCAATGAATATAACATGCAGTATGTAGGCTTTTGTGTGATTTTTGGCATGCTCATTTTTGTTTTATTAAAGAGTGCCTGTTTTTCTCTTTAACATTTTTTTCTGTTAGACTCCAATAGCTTTGCACAGTTCAACAAAGTTCTCAGCTCATCCTCAAGAATAAAACACGCTATTACCTTTAAGCCTGACTTTGTTCCAAATTGGCTGCCCCTCACAATCAAAAGCCGGTCATCCGCCATTTGTTCACTGCCACTTCCTTTAGTCTCTTCCAGTTAAAAGGGAGTTCTTCCCCCACACTGTCACCAACTACTTGCTCATAGGCGATTCTTCATCTTTTTATTCACAGTGCCATGGTGGATTGACATCTGAAAGTACTTTTCCACACTGTCAGTTAGGGCTGGGCCATATTATACCGTTCACGGTAATGTTAGGCAACGATAGGAAAATGAAATATCGCGATAGAATATGAGTAAAACGCGCATGCGCAGTGCCTTTGTTTTCATACGCACATGGCCGATTGTTGAGTGAAACAGATGAACCAGAATTGGTTTGTAAAAATGGTGCAACTTCAGTGATGTGGAACTGGTTTGGTGTTTGTCCGTCAGATACACGACAAAGCACATTTTTTTGCAGAACATGCAAGCGGCCGTCGTTATTGTCGTATTTGTCGGACTAAGATGCTCTTAAATCTGGGAGTAATCTGGGTCCTAAACTCCGTATGCTTCAGGTCAAACAACACTGCAGCATCACTGAGAGTTAAAAACTGTCTAAATTCTTTCATCTTTAATAAAACGATCAGCATTGCTGCTTTACCAGGTGTAACTATGAAGTTTAACTTCCAGGCATCCATGAAAACAAAAGTTATTACATTTAACGGAGTTAGAAGTTAGCAGGAAGCTAGCGGAAGTTAGCTCGCTAGTTTCGCTAGTTACCTAAGCATGATATAGCATGTTCTGACTGAGAGATTTCTGAAAAAATTCAAACGTACAGCTCTGCTATCACTTCCAACATAAATGAAGACAGGAAACTAAACAGCAGTGACGTTTGTAGGGTTACTGAAGTTGGGCTAGCTGGTATATAATGATGTGCTACGTGATCGCTAGCGACACAGCTATGTTAGCATAACATAAACAGTGAAGCTGGAGGACGAACACTAACACTTTTCCACTTATAAAAGTTAACGTGAAGGTTCCTCATGGTTAGAGACAAATGCAATCGCATGGCAGGATGCTGTAAACGGACCAAACTTCAGTCAGGAGAACAACTGAGATAATCCATCCACAATACGAGGTTAGTCATTAATATACTGCAACAACATGGGAATAGAGCAGCTGCCAGAGAATTCAACATTAATGAATCAATGGTACAGAAGTGGAGGAAGCAAGAAGAATGAGTTTAATAAAGTTTGATTTATCTGACTGCTTTGTTTCGCTTAATGTGCCTTATAATCCCGTGCACCTTATGGTCCGAAAAATACGTACTGCACACTGCAGTTTAATGTTGCAAAGCACCTCTTTTTAACTTCAGTGGATATTATACATGGTTATGCTCAGGATATGTCAGCCCATTTCTACTGGAAATGCCTTTTGGTTAAACTTTCAGCAAGGAATTTGCATTTGCACTGTTACATTTTTATAAAGCTTTAATGTACATAAAAACCAGCTTCTTGTTTAAGTGAAAATAAATGGAAGGTTGTCTTTTTGCGCTAGTAATGTTGTGGAGTTGTATTTTGTCTCGCATCAATTATATCGTCAGTTATATCGTTATCGCAAATTTTCAAATATATATCGTGATAAATATTTTTGGCCATATCGCCCTGCTCTACTGCCAGTAATGCATCCCCAAATCATGGCAGAGCCTCCACCACCTCGCTCCTGACTCTGATGTCCACATTGACAATGATTTGAAGCAACATTTTCAAATTTGAATTGACTCTCAGTCCAGCTGTTTAATTTGGTGTACCTTTTCTCCCAGTTTCCCCTTCTAAAGAACAGCTTCTTAACAATATTCTGTGTGTTTAGCAGCCCTGTAGATCAGCGCTTCAGAGCCATATGCTGCCCTCTAATTCTCTGCATGTGTGTGTGTTCATGCCTAGATTCATTTAGTAGTCTTATTGAATTAAAGTATAACTAGGAGTGCCAGAGGTCAGTGTATGAAAAGCTGTTTTTCTTCAGTATACTCTGCGGTTGCTAAACCAATGAGTACTCAGTGCTTTTTTTGTTAGCTCTTCCTCCCCACATACCAATGAGTACTCAGTGCTTTTTTTGTTAGCTCTTCCTCCCCACATGATCAGCAGGTTGGCTGGTTTGTGATTCCCCAACAGCCCCCACCCATCCTTCCCCCTCCATTTTTCCCAGAGCTCTCTCAGTTCATTTGAAAAGCAAATGTTATGTAATTGTATTTAAGAGTTGCATGCCTACCTAAAAGCTAAAATGCACAACGGAAAACAATTAAAGTGGGAATAGCTGTTGATGGTATAACAATGTCCTAACTAGCATTAGGATTTTTGGAAGCCCTTTTTGTCATTAATTTTAAAAGACCTTTAAAATCCCTGTGTGCCTTTTGCTATTGCTTTTTTTTACAAGTACAGAAAGCACATATATTGCTTGAATCCTTATGTTTAAGTCCTGTTGGTGTCTCTGTCCTTCTGCAGGTTTGAGTGCTGCAAAGCTGTTGAAAGCCAGTGGGCTCGATCCTGTAGTGTTGGAAGCCAGAGACCGGGTTGGTGGTCGTACCTTCACTGTGCAGGTAAGGCAAAGAGTGTCAATACTACTGTAGGAGCGGCTCATAAAAGAGACAATCAGTAACAGTAATATAAATACTTTCCAGCCTTTTTAATTTTACAACCAAGATAGTGTATCTATTTCTTTTAATGGGCATACAGAAAAAAAAAGACATTTACATTCAAGTCATTTATGAGCGTAGAAGTACAAGCATAGATCAGTTAGCCTTTTCAGAAATATCTGTGACATTTCTTTCTTTTTTGTCATGATCTAATTGCGAGTATGTGTCTTTTAGAATAAGGAGGCAAAGTGGGTTGATCTAGGCGGTGCCTACATTGGACCGACACAGAACCGCATCCTCCGTCTGGCCAAAGAGTACGGCATAAAGACCTACAAAGTCAACGAGCAGGAGAACTTGGTGCATTATGTTAATGTGAGTGTCTGTTTTTTTTATTGCAGATAATTTTCTATTCCAAGCTCTCTTGGTTTATGTTATGTCTGTGTAGTCCAGGACAGATCATGACATGTTCCAGATGTATTCTTCACTTTAAGTGATGGAGTAAATGATGACAATGTTCAGAAGATGATGCACCATATCCTGAGTCTGACCCATTATCCAATAAAAAGGAAATCCAAGTCTCTGCTACTTTTCTGGCATCACGCAGTAGGCATGGCAACAAGGATCTTTATCAACATTTTTCAATTGCCACTTTCTGCCGCTGGCACTTTTCCTGTCAGCTTGACTTTTTTATATTTACTGACCAAGGTTGCAACATTAATACATTGCATGAGCTAACAGAGCTAGCCTCTTTGCCATCAGCAGTAGAGTTTGAAGCATTTTTTGGGAATCTTTTTGTTTGCACTAACAACGAAGTAATAACTTGTTATGTTATCATCATTGTTAACTTTAGTTCACTTGACTGTAATCAGAAAAATTAGCCACTCCCCACACACACGGTCAGACAGAACATATAGCAGTGGAGGAGCTTGTTAATGATCTCAAGACTGGGACCAGTTACCAAGAACACCAATGGTAACACACTGGTTATAACACCAGACCTCAGTCCTGTAGAAAATGTGCTGTAGGCGGCTTTAAAACCTAAAGCATTTAGAGATTTTCTGTAAAGAGGGCCAAAACCCTCCTGAGATGTGTGCAAACCTAATGACCAACTACAAGGAATATCTTTTTTTTACTCTTAGTTTTAGTTTTTTTGGACAGTGGTTTGGGGGAAAAAATGAAATATGTGGAGCAGAGCCATCTGGCTAACAGGAAGAGCTACGTGAGGATGCCCTTCATGGACTATAACTCCACATTCAACTCTATAATCCCAGACATCCTTATCACCCTGAGAAAAAACTGCACGATAGCATCTCCCTCACCCCTCAGATGCCCCCCCTCCCCTTTCCTAGGTTAAGCTCGGTAAACACCCTCGGTAAAGAAGCCCCCAAAAGTGGTGCACTTCCTCCTGTCCTAAGAAGAAAAACCTGGCTGCACTGCTGGGCTTCTACTGCTCCTCAGTGGGAGACTGCTCTTGTACCAGGGCCCACCTGGATCTAGAAAGCGCTGCGTAGAGGGTAATTAATACTGTCAAAAAATGGCTGTCCTCTGCCACACCGGAGGCCATCGCAGATTCTCCTGTCTCAGACAAACACAGGGCACCAGGACGCCCACCCATCCTGGTTTGCCTCCACCATCGGCCCAAGACTCACTAACAGCTACAGCTTCTTCCCCTGGGCCATTTGGACTATTAACAAACACTACGCCACAAAAACCCCACTCCTGCCCACCCAGCCACTAATCTGAGCCATGGTCTGAGTAACCCTCATCACTCAGGCCACTCACACACAGGCTTTACAACTTTTGCTCTAATGTATGTCTTTTGTCTCTTGTTTATATATATTAGTCTTGATTTTATATATTTCTCATGTTTGTTATTTATTCCTGCTGTCTTACTATTTAAATTTTATTCCTGCAAAATTGGCATGGGGCACCCACAATTTTGTTGTACATGTACAAATACAATACGGGACTTTTCTATTCTATTCTGGCTGCATTTTCAGCCCTAAAGTTTGCTGTTTAAATCACTATTGCCCATATATCTCCCCTATATTGCTTTCCAGATTACTTAAAGAAGACTGAGGTACTATGAAATAGAAAACCAAATGTTCCTGTGGTTTCCTATATGTCTACAGAACAGCCACCACTCCTCCCTTCTTTAGCATTAGTGACTGGAGATGTTAATCTTTGCCAGAGGGATTTTAGTAATGCAGTTTCTCTTTTCTGAGTGGTTGAAAGGCAAACAAAGAGGAAAGGAAGAAAGAGACACTCAGGCTATATTTTCTATCCCG